GGACGTTAACGACACACACACACACACACACACACAACAGTAGAATCCGGTGTTAAGCAGCAGTTTATAGTGAAAAACTGTTTTCGTGTCCAAATCGTTTAGAACATTATTACAGAGAGATTTAAAGTATTAAAATTCTTCAAGGTGTATGGATAAGTTGAGTGGGAGAACGACGGTAGCTACTCATTAGTATCTGTGAAAGATATCGGCGAGTCTACGAAGGTGGATAGGCCTACACCTTACAGAACAGGAGATAAAGCTAAGGTTAGAGGTCACAAGAAGATTTACAGCCGTAAGCTAGCTACAGTACCTGGTGGGTCTAATTGTTAAAGTAGCTAAGTCGGTTTATAGACATAACGGCGCTAAACCATAACGGTCAAAATAAGTCAATATCATCCAAAGTCTTCAACTTTCAAAACACGAATTATTTGTTAATTTAAATCAACATTGATATTGTGATCTTACCGGGAAAAGATGGGCTTCTGATATCCAAAATAATCATTTTAACATTGGTACACGAATCGTGTACCATAATGCGTTTCATGCCCATTTTTAACAAAGGACTCGACGAACGAGGCTAGACATATTCCACAAGTCATATCAAACGGCGACCCATATTCTTATCTGGAGAGCATGCGCCATAAATACTATGTAGACTGGAATAACCAGACACTAGAGATTGCCATGCAATTGAGACTTCCCCGAACATAACTGATTTGAAATTAGAGTCTCGGTTATTCATTTTTGCATTTAATTAGTTTTCAAAAATTGTATCCCAATCCGCTAAATATCGCAGGCTAGCGATGATATCGAGAGTTGATTATGGTCTGGATAAGTTAATTAATGTCTAATTAATAATTTATATAACATTTCAGGCCTAAAGAAAGACATGCAATAATCCGATTTAGCTCTTGTATAATGTCTGTTTAAGCCACGTTGATATATACCCAGATTCGTTATTTGACACATAATTAAGAAAACAAAATCATAATACAAACGCTGGATAATCTCCCTGACTGGATTCAGTCGGATTTAAAACGTGTTTGTCATTAAATTGTCGCGACAACAAAATGACCGCAGGCGTACTTCATATAGCGAGTAACATAGATCGATGGAATTTCTATATTGTATATATCTTTGTAAATACTGGGCAAAATTGAACCAACTTATAACTGATATTACAATTAGATATTTGTCTTCCGCCAGCGAGCCACGGTGGCTGAGTGGGTAAGACGTTGGCTCGCTGACCTGGTGGTCCCGTGTTCAATCTCTGCGTTGACAGAGAAAGTACCCCAATGTAGTTCCTCCTTGTCAGTGGTGCAGGACTGCAGACCTGACAAGGGACAACGTATACTGGCTCGGGTGGGACGAAAAACCGAGGTCCCATGTATGTGGCGTGCACGTTAACGATCCCATAAGAGTATAGGCTGTAGAGCCACTGTCCGGTCTAAATGTCGCTCATAGCACACTGGCAATGAATCTGGATTATCTAGTTTAGGTAGCGTAACATAATTAAACCGACTGCTCAAAGAAACAGCAGTGGCACCTGAATTAAATGGAGGTATGGTCTTAATCATCTAAATTTCACATATAAAAAAATATGGAGTCGTTTTTAATTTTAAATCATTGAAGTAACTTTCTACACAAAATACAATTTATGATCCAATGTTCCTCTGATTTTTTAGCAATCCTGGCTGATAACGATTAAGTGTCCACCTTTCCGGAATTTGAACATATGGCACTACACGTGATGAGATTCCACTTGAATCGGACGAATCGGAAGAGGGACCTAAACGAGAGGAGCCTGCCTGTAGTTAGTATTTAAAAATGGAAATCATCGAAATTATATTTTCTACAGGGGCTCGCTGTGGCTAAGTGGATAAGACGCTGCCTTAACAGGTTTACAATAGCCCCTTTTCAATGTTAAATTTTAAGAGCACTGGAAGAACTGGACTTATATGATGTATGGTGATAAAAAAGAACTGGAAAGTAGAGTCTTGTATAGCTGACACAGATTGAGTGTGTATAGTAGGTCAGTAATTGGGACGCGCCGCGCAGGCGGCAGAAATCTCGTCTGCTAGATACTGTGTAAAATCTTATCAGCTCGTAAATATAAGCTAAGATTTGTAATTGTCGTGACACCTTAAATACACTAATTAATATAAATGATTAGAAAACGATGAAGTAATTAATATTTAATTTTAAACTATAAATTATACTATTCGTATTGACTTAGATTACCATTACTGAATATCAAAATAGCCAAAACATCTTTAACATTATATGTACATACTATGTAACTTTGTGTAATTATATCTTGATTGAAGTTTCAAATTGAATGGCACCTTCTTTTAATACATATTGTAATTAACCTAATTTAAATATATTTATGAATTAATGTATGGATCCATTGATTTATTGATGTATTATTTCATCAATGTGTTAATGTGTCAATGGTTTTGTATTTTGATTCAGGAATGTATTTCTTTTCTTTTCATTTTTCTTGTTTTTTTAAAAAAAAAAAAAAATAAAATAAAAAAAAAAAATAATGCTTTTAATTGATTAAGAATATTTTGTGCTGTTCCATGATTAAAATGTATGATTATATATTTATTGAATAAACATATTTACAAAAAAAAAACGCTGGCTCGCTAGTCTGGAGGTCGGGTGTTCGATCCCTGCATTGGCCGAGAAAGTTCATCCAGATTTTCCGGCGTGGTTTCCCCTTGTCAGTGATGCAGGACAGCAGTCTAGTCGTTCGGATTGGACGAAAAACCGAGGTCCCGTGTACACATTGGCGTTCACGTAAAAGATCCCTTGACAGTTGGAATTAATATAAGAGTAGGCCGTATTGCCGCTGTCCGGGCAAAATTTCCCTCATAGCACACTGTATGGCGCATGCCAGTCTTCATTAGCCCAGTTCAGAGCAGAACAGTAGGACGTTAAACCCCATTTCATTTCATTTCATTTATATTTTGTACAGGTCATTTATAAACCGGGGCCACGGGGGCTCGGTGATTAAGTCGCTGACTCATTAACCAGCAGGTCCGGGTTCGATCCCGGTGTTGACCGAGAAATGTCCATATAGGATTTATAAGTGGTGTAGCATGGATAGTGTGACAAAGAAGACTCGCTCCCGGTGTTGGGTGAGAAATGTCCATATAGGATTTATAAGTGGTGTAGCACGGATAGTGTGACAAAGAAGACTCGCTCCCGGTGTTGGTCGAGAACGTTCGTCGAGATTTTCCGATGTGGTTTTCCCTTGTCATTGCAGGACGTAAAAGATCCCATGGCAGTTGCAATTAGATATTAAAGTAGACCGTAGCGCCGCTGTCCGGGCAAAATTGCTTCATACCACATTGCATGACGTATGCCCGTTTTCATTAGCTCTGTCAGAGCAGAACATTTTTATTTGGTTAACCGCGGTGGCAAACAAACTCATTTCATTTCCTTGATAAGTTTGGAAAATGATTCTTAGAATTGAAAAGTTCATGAATAAATGTATACGTCAATATTTGATGGGTCGTCGCAAAAACACAAGTCCAAACCCAAATAATATGATACATTAAGGGCATGGCTTATAAACATTAAGATGGGATTGCTTCCATGGACGACTTTGTTGTAAAACGACCCAGACACGTAATTTTAAATCTGATTATAACAAGGTCCTATTCGTTTCGTTTTTTATAGTTAAAAATTTCGTTTTACTTGTCTTCATAACACTATGATCTGGAAGAGTTGTTATATAACAGGCGCTCTGCTTCATTTGTGGAATTAACCAATGAACCGGCCTGTTACGGCGTTCCGTGCATGGAACTGTGGGTAAAGCACTAGAAACCGCAACGCTGCTTGATTAATCAATGTCTGACGTCATAGGGTGAAAAGACGCTCGTGTGACCCTTGAAACGACCTCGCACTACAGTCAGATCTTCGAATAGTAGAGGCCGTCGAAAGTATAAAACACGAAACGAAATATAGATCTGTATTTTAATCGGATTGGAGTGAGATGTTTGTATTCTATAAACGTAATGTCTAACACATTCGAACCATGTATGTTTTTTGATTAAATTTTCGACAGCTTTGAGATAGCAATAATGTAGAATAAATGTTCGCATTGTTTAAACAGAACATTTTGTTAAACTAAACATACATTATTACGTCACATTAATAATGATGTCATAGGAGTGAAATGTTATATATTATATAAACTATTGAATAGACATTTATTAACAAAACAAGACCATTAATCGACTCTCGATGGCATTGGATACTCGAGATTTTAACTAGATTAAAACGGTTCCCCATTTAAAAATTTAATTTAAAAATCCCGATTAGGCTATATCACTATCAGTGCCCTGGTTAACACTGTGCATACATCTTGTCAAAACTACAAACAATGATAACTTGGCTGAGAATGAAGTAAATCAAGGGGTTTCCACATGTTGCTCCATCTGTCTAAGATACGAGAATTAACATTGTCAATGGGGAAATCTTTAGTGGTTTGTGACCAAATAAATAAAACTGTGCTAACAAAATGAAACTAGATTTGCCACGGCTAGATCTTATTCTTAAGGTCAACTCAATTCTCGTCGATGTCGCTGGGATGTAATAAGTAGAGCGCGTGATTGTTGACGAGATTGTAGGTTAGGGTTAGACTAAGTATTAGGGCTATGTCCAGGGTTCGGGTTAGGGTTGGGATTATAGTGTTAACCCTGTTTACATCTCGTGACCTTTGGCCAAACTTGAAGTTGGCCTTATCAATTAGATTTAACCCTTTGTGCCTATCTTCCTATAAATTTTACTCGAAACGAAATATAATTTTATATAATTAATGTTGCAGTGTTTTCGGCACTATGTCCTTCCGGCACATTTAACCAAATGTGAATATTTTTGGGCATGGTAGGCCAACATTAGATAACTACAATGACTTAATATTGAAAATAACTGAAAAATAGATAAATTTCGTTTCGTGTGAAATTCTGTGTTTCAAATTTGAATTTGCTAGAGTTCGCCAAGGGAATAATACTAGATCATTGTGTCATCTGGAGAATATCTTCTCGAGGGTTAGGGTTAGGTTTATAAATTACATGTCAAACGTACAAATTGAAGCTGTAACAACGGTGGATTGTGGCTAAAACTATTCTGAAGGGTTAGGGTTAGATTTGTGGGTATAAATGTAACCGGGGGGTGTAAATTCTCAATAAAAACTAAGGTGGTTAGTTTTTAAACCTTTATTAAAAACCCTGAAATATATATACGTTAAAATTAATATACATATCACAGTAACAGTTGAGTACAATAAAATAATAGTAAGGCATGCATATTGGTACTCAATGAAATATATCAATAATTTATACACTAAAATACATCACTAATTAAATTAAACATATTAAACAGGCCTTAAGTTTATACTAAATATAATATAAGTAATTGATAACATACCCAAAGAAGGGGTTTTTAAATAAGACTATCAAGATGGTGAACAAAATCTTCAGATAACTATATTCTGGAAAATAACATTATTCTGATTATACATACAATATACTTTCAAAACGGTACCTTATAATCTACTATATATATGTATATATGAAAAACTAATGATCTTTACATGTTATTTTCTATCTATTTAAATAAAATGGTTGCTTAATATTACAATTTCTATCATTCCTACATCCGCTCCATCTAAACCCCAATTACCCAAAATAAGAGAATTAGCACACATACCTGTAATACTGAAGTAGTATAACTGGAACAATTCTCTGAAAATAACCTAACTAGATTTGGAAAATAAAGTTAAACAATTTGATTGAAGATATCAAATTGTCCTTACACTTCGAAATCTATCTAATGTCTGATGTCTAAAGTGAGGTTCAGATAAAAAGAAAACTTGCTTGTAACCAAGGGAGTAGAATTGTACTCACCCCAAGATTTGGGCTCTAAGAAAACAGTACAGGTTAACAAGCCAAGTTAAAGGAGAGATATTATTATAGACCAGTTGCAATTAAAATTAGTGTCAGTTTGTTAGTTTAAAGGTGCACTCACTCAATACACTATATTACTTGACATAATAAAACCTATAAACATATTAAAATTCCGCTTCGCTACATAAACACTGACAGATATTCTACAGATCGGTCAAGATCCAGTTATCGGTTTGCAGTAGAGGTTTTGGAAATCTCGTTAAAAAATCAACAGTAAAAAAATATTTTGAGAAAAAAAAATGGATATGATATGTAAGTTTAACGTGTTAGCAGTGCAGGTAACTGAAAATTGTGAATTTTGCTGTCAGCTGAAAGAAGCAAACAAGTTGTCAACATTTGGCTGCGTCGAGTTGTTTTGTTTAGATTTTGAGCGGATACTAAATCACCGGAATTCACCGGAATTCACTTTGCAAATATCAAAATTTGACTCCAAGGCCTACCTCTTTACATATATTTTGCATTAATATTAATAATAAATAATTGAAAAACACCGATGATCACCGGAATTCACTTTTAAAAACATATAAACACCGGAAATCACTTTAAAAAAATGGGGGGTTGGATGGCCGAATGGTTAGCACGTGCGCGCTGCGCTGTATCATACAGTCTGTCATTGAGTCAACTGGTGGGATTTCGATTCCCCGGTTGTACGTGACAAGGAGTAGGGTCGCCTGGCCTACCTCGTGGGGTTTCTCCGGGTCCTCCGGTTTCCTCCCACTGCTAAAGACCCCTACGCGCAAGTGAATTATTGAAATAAAATTGAACCATGTGTTAGTCCCGAAATGACCTAGTTTGAGTCGAGTTGAGGTTAAACCCTATTTCTCTCTCTCTCTCTCTCTCTTTCAGGGGGGTTGGATGGCACGTGCGTGCTGTATCATTAAGTCTGTCATTGAGTCATCTGGCGTGGTTTCGAATCCCCGGTTGTACGTGACAAGGAGTAGGGTCGCCTGTCCAACCTCATGGGTTTTGTCCGGGTCCTCCGGTTTCCTCCCACTGCTAAAGACCCCTACGCGCAAGCGAATTATGGAAATAAAATTGAATCATGTGTTAGGCCCGAAATGACCTAGTTTGTGTCAGTGGACGTTTAAACCCCATTCTCTATCTCTCTCTCTCTCTCTCTCTCTCTCTCTCTCTCTCTCTCTCTCACTTTCAAAATATGAGAATTCGCCCACAAGCCCTTGCTGCTTACATATATTTTGCATTAATATTAATAATGAATTTCCTTAAATACACCAAAAATGACTACTACATACGCCTTTTAGATTTAACTTGTCTCTTTGTAAATTTCACATAAATGGTCATTTCGAGACTTACACATGGTTCAATTATATTTCAATAATTCACATGCGCGTATGGGTTTTTTGGGGAGGGGGCAGAGGAATCGGCTTACACTACATGAAGATCTGACCAGTTGTACTGGGAGGTCATGTCAGGTGTCATACGGGCGGCTTTTGACCCTATGAAAGATATTGATTAATCAATCAGCTTTAACGTTTCTAGGGGTTTACCCACAGTTCCGTGAAGATCACGCCAAGAACTCGCCGTAACAGACCGTTTCATTAGCTAATTTCTCACATCAACTAGAACGCCTGTTACATAACAACTCTTCCAGTGTAGTAAAGAAAAGAAAACAAAATTTTGTACTATTAAAAAACATGAAATGAAATAGGATTTATAAAGAGCCGTTACCTTCAATGTGCCTACATATTTCTTGTAGCATATAGTCGATCATGACTCGTACTGGCTTTATATAACTTTTGGGAAATATTCCCCCTTATTTTTAGTTTGTTTTATATACGCCTACATTGAAATGTAGTCATATATTCAATTGTGTCACCCCCATTCGTCAATTCGTTGGTCCGGCGTCCACAATTGTTTGTGGACACTCTAGAGGCCAAAGTGAATATCCGATTGACATTAAATTTATACACAGTGTTTAAGGTCATGAGACGAAGAAGCCTATTGATTTTCAGCAATTTCTGATAATTACTGCCAGAGTTATGGCCTTTGATCACTTCAAAATATCTTGTGGATGCTCTAGAAGCTAAAGATGATATCCGATTGACTTCAAATTTACACTCAGTGTTCGAGGTCATGCGACGAAGAATCATATTGATTTTCAACATTTCTGATAATTACTGCCAAAGTTATGACCCTTGATCACTTTGAAAAATCTTGTGACGTCTAGAGGCTAAAGTTATCATCGGATTGGCTTCAGTTTAAGGTCTTGAGATGAACAAGTATATTGATTTTCAATGAATTTTGATAACTTGAACAGCTAAATCCATGATATTAAATGTTTCGTATACTAAACGTTAGCATGGGGCAGAACTTTATACAAACAAATCAAATTCTAATGATTTTCTGATAATTACATGAATTGATGAGTTGTTGTTACTCTTAATTGGTTATTAGTGTATTATAATTGTTTCATTACTAAAAAATGTAAAAATATGCGACAACACTTGTTGACTGCCCGGATGATTTAGCTGCTGTGGGTTGCCTAGGGGGTTGGATTGCTGAATGGTTAGCGTGCGCGTGCTGTATCATAAGGTCTGTCATTGAGTCAACTGGCGTGGTTTCGAGTCCCCAGTTGTACGTGACAAGGAGTAGGGTCGCCCGCCAACCTCGTGGGTTTTCTCCGTGTTCTCCTATTTCCTCCCACTGCTAAATACCCCTACGCGCAAGCCAATTATTGACATAAAATTAAACCATATGTTAGACACACCTAGTTTGTGTCGAGTAGAAGTTAAACCCCAATTCTCTCTCTCTCTGTCTCTCTCTCCTCTCTGGACTTTCGGGGATCACATGGGTAAGACGCTGTCTCGTTAGCCTGGAGGTCGGGTGTTCAATCCCTGCATTGGCCGAGAAAGTTCCCCCTTGTCAGTGATGCAGGACGGAGGGCCTGACAAGGACGACTGTCTAGTCATGCGGATGGGACGAAAAACCGAGGTCCTGTGTATACATTGGAATGCACGTAAAAGATCCCTTGGCAGTTGGAATTCGATATAAAAGTAGGCGATAGTGCCGCTGCCCGGGCAAAATTTCCCTCATAGCACACTGTATGGTGTATGCCCGTCTTCATTAGCTCAGCATAGGAGCAAAACAGTAGGACGTTAAACCCCATTTCATTTCATTTCTCTGGACTTTTACGGTCGACCTCCTGGATCCATTCACTCGATCTGATATGCACAGTTGTTGTGTGGTGCAGTAGCAGATATTGGACAGGTCAGTCGATTTGCACAGGCCAAGACAGTTAACATGGATTTTCCACAGGGTTCCCCCTAGTCACTGGTGCAGAGTAGGCCGCTGTCCGGACATAATTTCCTACATAGCACACCGTATGACATATGCCCATTTTAATTAGCCCAGTCGGAACAGAACAGTAGGACATTAATCTTGATTTCATTTCAAACATTTAGAAATATTTTTTTCTCTATTTTAGATAAAACAAACTGAACAAGTTGGATCAGGAAAGACTATCACAATGCCTAGAAGAAAAAGGTGCAAATGGATTAAAAATTTACAACAACATTGGTGTAAATGGCGTGATAGCATTGCAAATGAACCCCTTCCTGATTCAACAAATGAACCCCTTCCTGATTCAACAAATGAACCCCTTCCTGGATCACAAGATCAACCTGGATCACGAGTTGAACCCCTTCCGGGATCAATAGATGAACCCTTTCCTGGATCACGAGATGAACCCCTTCCGGGATCACCGGATCAACCCCGTCCTGCTTCAAGAGATCAACTGGTATGTTTGATATCTACATGTAAGCTTATCTACAAAAAAAGAAAAGCAGTTCATGTTTTTTTTTTTGTTGTATATTTTTTTTTTTGGCTGAGAAATTTCATCAGCTGTTTCCGACGTGGTTTCGCCTTGTGAGTGGTGCAGGATGGGGATAAAAGACTGAGGTCCTGTGTACACATTGGTGCACACATAAAAGATCCCTTGGCAGTTGGAATTCGATATAAGAGTAGGCTTTTGCGCTGCTGTCCGGGCAAAATTGCCCTCATGGCACACTGTATGACATATGCCCATCATCGTTAGCCCAGTCGAAGCAGAAAAGTAGGACGTTAAACCCCATTTTATTTCATCAGTATTTTTTCAGACAATCCTTCCCTTATAGAAGATTGTATGGCTTATGCCCGTCTTCATAAGCCCAGTTGAAGCAGGCTTGTAACAATCTATACCCCGACGCCCGGGCCTACCAAAATTAACTTACAGGCTAGTGATCTATTTAACCGTACTAGTCCTGGGCTAGTGGCCTTTTACTGGTTTGTAAATTAATCTAGAGATATAGATAAATAAACTGTAAAAACATCCTACATTTATTTCTCCAATTCCACACAAAACTCTATTATAACAATAGATTTTCTGTATAAAACTTAGGGCAGTATGGACATTTTTAGTACCTCGTCGATTCATTCATTCTTGACATTTTTCTCCACCTTGCACTCTTTGACAAGTCACGTATTCACCAGTTGAAATCAGGTTGATTTTTTTTAAAAAAAGCCTACATAATATTTTATAAGATTGGTTTTGACATAAATATTTGAAAGCATGCCATTGGATTTTCAAATACAAAATAATTTTGATTATTTAATATGTCCGGTATTTCCAAAGAATTTACTACACGTGTTCGTTGCACATGGCATGCTCAATGGTACCCTATCGACACACAGCATCGTGCTCGAGTGATAATGTAAACAATTTTACTATCCTGTCTATTTTAATATTATATCATTAATTATATTAATTTTATTGAAATAAAATTAAACCATATGTTTTTGTCGAGTGGGCATTAAACCCAGTTTCCCTCTCTCTCTAAAGTCTTGTTTCCATTATTGTACAGGAATAGTGCATCCTACTGACAAAGGTTGTAGAAGAATCGAAGAGAGAGAAATGAAATGAAATGGGGTTTAACGTCCTACTGTTCTGCTCCTAAACTGGGCTAATGAAGATGGGCATACGCCATACAGTGTACTATGAGGGGAAATTTTGCCCTACAGCCTACTCTTATATCGAATTCCAACTGCCAAGGGATCTTTTATGTGCATGCCAATGTGTACACGGGACCTCGGTTTTTAGTCCCATCCGAACGACTAGACAGCTGTCCTTGTCAGGCCCTCTGTCCTGCATCATTGACAAGGGGAAACCACGCTGGAAAATATGGATGAACTTTCTCGGCCAATGCAGGGATCGAACACCCGACCTCCAGGCTAGCAAGCCAGCGTCTTACCCACTTAGCCACGTGATCCCTGAAGAGAGAGAAATAGGGTTTAGCACTTGACATGGAATGACCCACAGGGGACTTTACTCCTTTTCACGTACAAGCAGGGATTCAAAACCACATCATGACTCAATGAACCATTCAGCCAGTTCGCTCCTACTGCTCAAGGAATGACCTAGTTTGTTTTGAGTGGATGTTAAAACCACTTTCTCTCAATACATAACATTGTTATAACTTTTATATATTACAGGAAACTAATAATATAACTTATCACAGGAAACTAATGATGTTATAACTTTTATATATTACAGGATACTAATAATATAACTTATCACAGGAAACTAATGATGTTATAACTTTTATATATTACAGGATACTAATAATATAACTTATCACAGGAAACTAATGATGTTATAACTTTTATACATTACAGGAAGCTAATAATATAACTTTTATATATTACAGTAAACTAATGATTTTATAGCTTTGATGTTATAACTTTTATATATTACAGGAAACTAATGATGTTATAGCTTTTATATATACTATTCAAAAAAAGTAGGGGATGTTTGATTTTGGGGGCATAATACTAAAATATGCAAATGACTACGAAAAAAGTCACTATAGAACCTAACAGAAGAAACATTTCCAGTTACATGTGACGCCCAAACGCACCAATAGCTACCGCATGGAATGCAGGTGATGCTTGGGATCATCATGGGGGTCCAACCCAAGATTTGCACGACTCTGACTTTGAATGTTACAGTCATTGTGGCATTGAATTCCAGGGTGGAAACATCAGTTTAATTGTTTTAGTGACCAGAAAACAAATTTTGATATGCGTCGGCTTACCCAAAATGAAAGGTTACGTGCCCTTGGCATGCTACAGATCGGCACAACACAGGCGGTTGTGGCGCGGACGATGAATGTTTCTCAGTCTGTCATAAGCAGGCTATGGTCCAGATACCGTGATACACAATCTGTACAGAACAGACCACGCTCAGGTCGACCAAGGGCGACAACTCAAGCCCAGGATCGATTTATCCGTACCTTGGCCTTGAGAAATCGTGTCATCACAGCAAATCAGATCAGCGCTCGTCTTCAAACAGACACTGGTGTGAGAGTGAGTGGCCAGACGTTTCGGAATCGACTGCATAGGGGTCACCTTCGCGCCCGACGTCCTCGCGTGATCCCTTGTTTGAGAGATCATCACATTCAGGCAAGACGTCGTTGGTGTAGGGATCGTCAACACTTGGATAATCGACGCTGGAGCAATGTGATGTTTTCAGATGAGTCAAGGTTCACTGTTGATTTTTTGGACAGACGTAGGAGGGTGTGGCGTCGTCGAAACGAGCGCTTCCAAGACGTTAACGTCATCAGACATGATCGATTTGGGGGTGGTTCTGTTATGGTGTGGGGAGGCATCACTGTTGCTGGAAGAACGGCTTTACATGTTGTTGCAGGGCGTGTTACAGGCCAGTACTACCGGGACAACATCTTGGCAGTCCATGTTGTGCCGTTCGCACGACGTCATGGCCGCCGTTTCATCTTCCAGGATGACAACGCAAGATGTCACAGGGCCAGGATCGTTACAGGTTACCTCCAACAACAGAACATCACCACATTACCTTGGCCAGCACTGAGTCCCGACCTCTCCCCCATTGAGCATGTCTGGGACATGCTTGGACAGAGGTTACGTCAACGTCAACAACGTCCTGCCAATGTCCAAGAACTTGCTGCTGCGTTGCAACAGGAATGGGACAATCTGGACCAAAATGACCTTAGACGTCTCATTAGGAGTATGCCACGTCGGATCAATGCTTGTTTGGCAAACAGAGGAGGATTTACCCGTTACTGACTTGGTTGTGATGCTGTGGTAACTTTGCTGTTTGACCCCGGGTATCATTTTACCCTTATAATGGTCAGTCTGTGCCTTACTTAGTCTAACGATCATTTGGAAAAAATCGATGAAAGTGAACTTCATTTCATTTTGTCATTTGTTTCTTCGTCAGTTTCATTAGGTGACTTTAATAACACTTAAAAATCAAATATCCCCTACTTTTTTTGAATAGTATAGATAAAACACGTAATTTGAAGAAATAATTCATACTATTAACACAATTTCTCCAAAAAAGTCATCAATTGACAAAAAAAGGTGCTAAACTACTGAATTCGCTCACATTAAAAATGGATATTTTTTACAGTGTGGGGTTACCCAGCCCATACCTAATACATATTAGCCAACTAGACTGAAACAATGGCCATTTTATAATGTATGTTAATCATTTCAGATTACTGTGTAGCAATGTCAAAGGACAAGAACGTGGCCATTAATCAAGCTCTTCACAACAAATTAACCACGTACAGATATAAGGCGAGGTGTAGGGCAACAAGTCCTGAATACTGATCATTGACAGTGCTTATCTAGATGAAATTATGGATGACGAAACCCCCGTGCTTATTGAAGGAGTCAAGTCGCTAACTAACTCAATATCATCCAGTCTTCGACAATGCAAACAGAAACGATTGATGTTTCAGTCAAAATGAAAATATTAACATTGGCACTTGAATTGCGTGTAGAATGCTTCGGGTACCATTTGCATTAAGGGACTCGATGAAGGAGACTTAATATATCCCACGTAGAAGAATATCACCTTTTAAATTCAGACCCTTCGCGTAATTCGTCAAACATAACTGATTATAAATTACAGTATGATAGAAACGATTGAATGTAAATCAGGTTATATATATTCATAATACATTATTATGTGTTGCGACCTATTTGTGTCCATTACTGGGTGCCACAGAATAGAGATTTAGCTCTTTCTGGGTTGATTGCATATTATATTCAAATACTAGATTGGTGGGGAAAACCCGTTCTTATTTAATCAAGATGCTGAGTTGGTGGAGAGATTTAAGGCCAAGAGTAGCGGAAAGATATCAGTAGAATAAACCACAAGTTCCAAATACCGATTATTGATAGTGCTTTTATTGCTGGGTTTGTGGGGGAAACACCGGATTGTTTAGTTAAAGTGCTGGATGGTGGGGGATACCCTGTGATTATTTAATAAATATACTGGGTTGGCGGGGAACCCCGGGCTTGTTTAGTTAAAATATTGGGTTGGTGGGGAAATCCCGGGCCTGTTTAGTTAAAATACTGGGTTGTTGAGGAAAATAAATTTATCTTTAAATTGAATCCGACTTCTGTTTTATTGTCTCTGAAACATTTCCACCGCGGCGCCCTAACCTAACCAGGCGGTGTGGCGTGTTTCATTGACTTGAAGACCATGATAAAAGTGACCGTAAATATAAAAGTAAATATAAAAGTAAACATAATCAATCGCTGTTTTAATGAAATGCAAATATGCTTGTTTTTGTTCAGTTAATATCGATGTGATTCATGATGTCATAAATCAACCTCTTCTATGTACCAGTTTGCATACATGAAATTAAAGGGAGTAAAATGAGATTTAACCTGTTACGAGTTTGGTCCAACTGGGATAATGAAGACGGACATACGCCGCTACGCCCTCCTCTTATATCGAATTCCAACTGTCAAATGTACGTCAAAGTGTTCACCGGAAAATCACAGAGAACTTTCGAAATCAACAACGGGATTGGACCACTTGCCCCTAGTCAACGAATAACTGAGCCACGGCGGCTCCCATTTGTTAAAGTATCAAATATATCAAGTATCATCAAGTCTATAATACCCGCCCTTGTCTTCTGCCCCGATTGGGTTAACAAAGACGGACATACACCACACACAAGGCGCTATGAGGGGAAATTTAACCAGTCAACGACGCTACGGCCTACTTTTATGTCAAGGGTTCTGCACGGGACCTCAGTTTTCTGTACCATCCGAATGACTACACCTTTTTTCTTGCCAGGTCTGAAGGCCTACACCAGTGCCAACCCAGGATGAGTCAATAGGGGGACGATTAGGTTAACGTCCGCTTTAATTGAATCAAGTGGTGTGGGTTCGATCCCGGCTGATTACTGGCCACCGTCGTGCTAAAGACCTGTACACGTGCAGGCTAATTAATTGATGGATTAGAGAAATATCATATGTCGACGGTGTTAAAAAAAACGCAACTAGAACGCCCAGGGTCACATCCCACTTGTCCGGGATCCCTGTCAGCGAGAGGCGTGGGGGGTCGATGAATGTTAGAAGGAGGCCATTCCCGCAAATGCGTTTTCTTGCTGTTCCAGCCCATGAATGCAGCAACTTCAAAGTGATCTAATGTACCCTTACTTAGGTAGATGACTCGAATACCAACCAATCATTCAGAGTCCACGGAGACGGGAAAGTCGGGAGAAAATTTTGAAACTTTAACTGCCGCAAACCCGTTTTCCTGGCTGGTACACCTATGAGAGAGAGAGAGAGAGAGAGAGAGGGAGATTTCGGGACTAACATGGTTTAATTTTATGTAAAGGATTCGCTTAAGGATCTTTAGAAGTGGGAGGTAACCGCAAAACCAGGGGAAAACTTATGAGGTTGGACACTACGTCTTGTCACGTACAAGCGGGGAATCGAAACCATGCCATTTGACTCAATGACAGACCTTATGATCTAACGCGCTCGCGTTAACCATTCAGTCACGCAACCCCAAGCAATATTTGGAGAATTAATCTCTCAACTAAATATCCGCTTCAACCACAAGGATATTAAAGATACATTGTCACAAATGTATTTATCAGGTGGTTATTTCCAGTAACAGTATGACATGATATATGAAAAGTTTAGACGCCCAATCTTACTAGGAAACTACTCGATTACCGTATCATCTCAATGGAAGCGGACGTAAATTAACCTTGATATTATATCAAGTATTATAATATCAAGGGAGTCGCGGTGGCTCAGTGAGTAACGTCTATCATAGAGTCAATTGGCGTGGATTAGGTTCACGCATGTACGTGACTAATACCCCGTTCAGACGCTTATTTTTAAACCAGTTCAAAATCGCCGGGGTTTTTAAGACAGCGTCGTGTTGCGTTCACACGTACTATAAGTCAAACCTGTTTAACTATTCTGACCTCTTCGGTCGGAGGTTAGAGTTAACTATGCATGCGTACATACCATTTCCTGGTAGAATATGTAAACATCCTGTGAAAAAAAAATCCGCGAAATTTGTTTCTCTTACTCTCGGATAGTTTATACACATTTCCTAGAAATGAATACTAATGCTTTGAGACATAGAATTAAACAGTTTAGACAACGACAGAGTCAACAAAGGTACTTCTTTCTGATGCTAATGAGTGTCACTTCTGTGATATTCATGCCAACCAACAGGAGAATATGGTCACGGTATCACAGTGGCAATTGGTGGAATCACGCATACAGGTTTGGTTTGATATATTCATATATATTGTTTTAAAATTTATAATCATTATAATGTAGTCAAATATGTACACGGACAAGGGGTCATCAATTAAATATTTATAGAAAATATAACGTCCCCCCCCCCCCCCCCAAAAAAAAAACAACCTAAAAAAACAAAACAATCTTCACACAAATAGGCCTGTGCTATTATATGTGCCATATAGACAATTTTTAATTTCGAATAATAATAGTTGCATGCTTAAAAGAGATAAATTGTTAATATTTGGGATCTAGAAATTGACACAAATGGGTCGCAACACATAATTTCTAATTAGTTATATTTGTCGAAATACTCTAGATGTCTAAATCGAATGGCAATGTCTAGCAACTGGTTATTCCAGTCTACACTGATAGTATTTATTGTGCATGCTCTCCAGATAAGAATATGACTTGTGGGAATATGTCTAGCCTCGTTCTTCTAGTCCCTTGTTACAAATGACACTGAAATGCATTACACAATTCGTGTACCAATGGTTAAATGTTTGTTTTGTCTCAAATATTGGATATCAGAAACCCATCTTTTCCCCGTTAAGATCACAAGATCAATGTTGATTGAAATTGACAAATACTTTGTGTTTTCAATGTCGCAGATTTTGGATGATATTGACTACTTTAAGTTTAATTATTTACCTAATCTAATTCCTTTACATTTTATTTTCAGCTTTTATGATGATATACAGTATTTGGAAAACTTCAGAATGTCAAAATGTACATTTGAATATCTGTGCAGAATTTTGAGACCATTTCTTGAGAAACAAGTAACAAGTATGAGGGAACCAATATCTGTTGAGCGACAGGTAGGCTATTTTGCATTTTATGATCGCTGTATTGGTTGAGATATTCACTTCTGCTTGAGAATATAAGAACATGCAACACATACTATTATTTTCTATGTTGGCCGCCTACTGATTTGGATTGGAAGTAGATATTTGTTTGTACATGTAGATGGCCTTAGTAAAAAACAAATCTAGTTTTGTCAATTTAATACTAGACTGAATAATAGATTTTATCACTGAACTAAAATGATTGGAAATATTGAGAACAATCTTCTACCCCTCCCATTTTAAGTATGGTAACCCTTTTTTTTTAGGTTGGCATAAGTTTATGGGTTTTAGGGACCAATGCTGAGTACAGAACTGTGGCTGCATTATTTGGGGTTGGCCGGTCAACCGTGTCTTCAATTATACACATATTTTGTGAGTCCCTGATTTCGATCAAGGACAAATTCATTAAATTTCCATCAGGTGAAGAACTGAATAGAGTTGTAAATGGGTATCGGTCGAAATGGGGATTTCCAAATGCAGGTGGAGCAATAGATGGCAGTCATATTCCTATATTAGGACCGAGCATGAACCATGCTGACTTCCATAACAGAAAAGGGTGGTATTCCATCATTGTTCAAGCAGTTGTGAATGATCGTTATGAATTCACAGACCTAAATATCGGGTGGCCAGGAAGTGTTCATGATGCACGAGTCTATGCAAACTCCAAAATATATGCAAAAGGGCTGTCTGGGACATTATTTGCTGGCAAGATGATTGATGTCAATAATGTGCGCCTGCCTATCATCTTGTTTGGTGATCCGGCTTATCCATTATCCAACTTTCTAATGGAACCATACACAGACAATGGACACCTGACCCAAAATCAAAAGACATTTAATTATAAGCTAAGTAGTTCACGCATGACGGTAGAAAATTCCTTTGGTCGCCTAAAAGGTCGCTGGCGCTGCTTATTAAAGCGATTGGATATGAATGTTGACAAGGTCCCCAATATTATTATGACCTGTTGCATACTTCATAACATATGCGAACAAGCAAAAGACCCATTTAGGGTTGAATGGCTAGAGGATGTAGCAAAGGGAGAAAACTAAATGCCTCAGCCAAATCAAAGTAACGAAGAGGCAATCAATGCAGACTGCACTAACATTAGAAATATCCTGGCTGAATACTTCCAGGAATAATTTAACCTTACAAAACAAATAATTAAGAAAGTAATAATTGACCATACTGTTACATACACTCACTACAAAGAATTTCTATGTGTATATGCCATCTTTTGTTTACTTTTATTGTTTCATTTTGTGTGTTTGCAGAAAACTAAAAAATGGTCAAACTAAATTGGTTTATTTTCATAATAAAAATCATACAACAGAAAAATAACTGATAATCTTATAACACAGTGGGTCTATTATAACTATATATGTGATCAGCTCTGGCCAAATGGTTGCTATGGAGTTCAATTTGTTTCCAAAATTTTCAATATCTTCTTTCTTAAAAGTAATATTATGGTACATTCAAATTTAAATATTCCAAGCATATTTCTAAGTCACATACTAATTTAAAGGTATTTGGATACAGAATTTAAATTGACACCTTTTGGCATCTTGATTTTTGATCCATGCATCTCATTAAGCCAGAGTTGGATTATATAATAAGAGGTCCAATTGTCATCTTTGTTGTCCATCACTGAAGAAGTGTATGTAATTAAAAATATACAGTGGACTCTTTCACTTTCAACATTGTACAGGACCGATACAATGCCGGATTATACACCATGACGGAATACTTAATTGTCTCAAAACCGCAAGTATTATTGTACCTCGAATACCAAAGTATTATTTTAATGCACCTTCGAATACCCAGAACTTAAAAATATGATAAACCTTTCTGTACATTTGAAACTTTATTATATAAAATTATTATGTTTTTACTTTGGGTGCGTACAAAACACTTGTGCGTCGTTATGAACAAAATATTATAATGATAGTGATTCTTCATCTCAGCAATTTATATTTAATGTTGCTGTATTTGACGTGAAAAAATCAAATGAAATACCAAGCACTCTCTTACAAGAAATTATAAAATTATCAAGGTTTTATTAACAAAGACTGACACATACTTTAAGCTCACCGATAATTGATTGCTTGTCGGTTAACACCCACTGATTGAAGGCCGGATTATCCAATGTTAATTCAACAGAAATCGTTTAACGGGGGTCCCCAGATTGGTCTAATAATTCAGAATATTCCGAGTCCACTGTACAAGCCTACACTATAAAGTTATTGATCAATTTTTAATTTATGTCTTTCAATTAATGTATTAAATAAAAGAGAATTTACCATTTTTGAAAACATAACAGACTGTTTTGTTCTTATTAGGGGCTTATCAATTGACTTACAAAGAAGAAAACACCCACCTCATACCGTTTCGCATTATTTGATAACGATAAGAAGCCAAGTCAAAACTTTGCTTTAGATATAAACAAGGATTGTCCTGTGTATTCCCAGTTCAATTGCTAAATGCCATTGAAACAATTAATCTCATACTGGTAATTTAAATTCATAAAAACTGAAATCACATAAAACGTGTTACAACTACAGTTAACTTTCACAACCAAGTACATATATCAGCTTCATGACACATTTGATAATGATATGGATATTAATAATTAAAACATGGAAATAAATTTATTAAAACTTGAGCCATGGTAAAATGGAATGACAAATAAAATTCATGTATTTGTAGAAACAAAAATAAACTGTTATCAATGACAATAATTGCGCTACATGTCAGATATTTTGGCACAAAATGGTATATCTTGAAAATAATATGATTCAGCTTCATGATACATTAAGTTAAATGATATGGATATTAATAATTAAAACATGGAAATTAATTTATTAAAACTCTAGCCTTGGCACAATGGAATGATAAATAAAACTATGTATTTCTACAAACAAAAATTAACTGTTATCAATGAAAATAAATGCTCTACATAGCAGAACTTTTGGCACAAAATGATAGGTCTTGAAAATAATATGGTTTTATAAATTTGTATATGTGTGTCCATTAGCTCCTTGTAAAAATTGTGGCTGCGGAACATGTCCATTTTGTTTTTGAGAAAATTGATGCTGCTGAAATCCCTGATTGGCAAACAAACTCCATAATCTTAATTCATGTTGCCTATCTCTTTCCCTATCCTCGCGTCGTTGTTCCTCAGCTCTAAGTCGATCCTCCCGTCTCTGATCTTTTCTAAGTCTCTAAAATCTGCCTCCATTCTCATTCTTTTTTCTTCGAATTCAAAATATGATCTTTCTTGTTCTCTTTGATAATTTATAAAGCTGGTTGTTGTCTCATTCAGAACACGTTGAATTATATCCTCTCTGTTTCTTTTTTTCTTTTCTGGTCCTGTAAGTAAATAAAATAACTCTTTAATGTTTAAATAAATGAACAATGATTGACAATTCGGGCCTCGAAATATCCCTTCAGTAACTAACCTGTCACTCTTAATTATCCAAAAACAACCACAATATTTACCATGGTGCCGTTACACATGTACTTCTGTGTAGATACTTCAAAATGCTATAGATGAAAACTTGTGTGGATGGTGTGTTAAAGTTCTTATACAATAATTGGGCGTGGTTCTGTCCCTGGAGGTCAGGCATGTACCAAAAATAACCATATTGTAAAGGAATAATTAAATAAATGTGACATCATAATGAGTAGGCCTATTGTGGTCTGGAGTCAATTTCCTGAACATTAGTAAATTTAGTCCACCTACTTACTACCTGTCAGACCTGTCAGAGAACATTTCAAGTCCTGCATTTTATTTCCATATAGGTATACACCTTATTAAGTCACTCTTCTGTTTTGTTTTACCTATTCATGGCTACACTATTTTGAATCCGATCTTATTATGTATTAAAATCATAAACAAAATTCTTTAGGTAAATAATAGCTATATAAAGTAGTTAAGGGCGTTGTCACAGGTATGACTTTTTTGAACACCTATAATTTCTAATTTGATTGGGGGGATCACGTGGCTAAGTGGGTAAGACGCTGGCTCGCTAGCCTGGAGGTCGGGTGTTCGATCCCTGCATTGGCCGAGAAAGTTCATCTCGATTTTCCGGCATGGTTTCCCTTTGTCAGTGATGCAGAACGGAGGGCCTGACAAGGACAGCTGCCTAGTCATTCGGATGGGACGAAAAACCAAGGTCCAGTGTACACATTGGCGTGCACTTAAAAGATCCCTTGGCAGTTGGAATTCGATATAAGAGTAGGCCGTAGCGCTGCTGCCCGGGCAAAATTTCCCTCATAGCACACTGTATGGCGTATGCCCGTCTTCAATTAGCCCAGGTTAGGTGCAGAAGAGTAGGACGTTAAACCCCATTTCATTTCATTTTCTAATTTGATTGGGATACAAAATCAAATGTTCCGTGTACTTTATAACCAGTAAACATACCATTTGTCCTGCACAACACTCATCTATACGTACAGCTAGTTTTCAGTGGGATGTTATTCTAGCATTTTTTAAAATTTATATTGAATCACAGAAGGAATTAGTGACCGGTTTACCACGTTCTTAGACAGAAAGCAGCTCCAGTGTTGTACTTTTTCAAATATTGATAACCATTTAGAATAAATAGCAACTGAACCTTTTTTTTCTGGCTGTTTACGGAGGACGGTTTCTGTAGGCTCATTTTCTTCATTTTCCAAATTGACTCTTGTTGGTTCCTCATCATTATCATCATCATCAAAATCATCCAAATCTTGTGTTTCTATAAAAAATTAAAAAAAATACCATTATATAATTTCCATAAGTTTTGATTTTAAAACACTAATTCTCCAATGGCTATTATGCAAAAAAATTTGATTTAATTTGTTTTGTGTGTATATGTGAGTTTGATCCCATGTTTGTAGGCTTATATTGCCTGCCAACTATCGCATCGATTTAGTCTTGCTCCTGACAATATAATAACAATAACATGTTCGCTTACCTGAATTAATACTTGTCTCCAGAATATGTGTTGGACGGGTAGCGGGTCTGGTTCCTAATATTTTATCCATAGCGTCAAAAAACTTGCTAGTTTTCTTGCCACTCCCACTTTTATTGTTGTGGTCCTTTATTTTTTTTATAAGAATGCTTCATATTCTTTATGCGATTCTTGCAGGCGTCTGCAGATTTTCTGTACCCATTTTCCTGATAGATAGAAAATATAAAATAAATTTACTACTAGAATATGAGAAAACCGGGATTTATGAAAAATGCTTACGCTGTTATAAATAGTATTACTAAAAGAGAACTAAATTTTATTAACTTGTAATATACACAACTAAAAACAGTTGTTTATGTAACTGTAACTCGTGGCTTACTGTACTCCAAACAATAGAGGGTATGAGTCTTCAGATTTCTATTTAATTGCCTAACTATAGACACTCTGAATTTAAATTCGCTGTTAAATTGGACACATTGAAGAACACACTATTTTTTATACAACTTTTACAAAGTACAATTGTGTGCCCAAATTTTCCCAGCATTTGGTGCCCAAAATGGGGGGGGGGCGCCCCCCCCCCCAGGTCGTACGCCTATGGACAAACAATGATAATTTGGCTGAGAATGAAGTAAATCAAGGGGTTTCCACATTTTGCTCCATCTGTCTAAGATACAAGAATTAACATTGTGAATGGGGAAATCTTTAGTGGTCTGTGACCAAATAAATAAAACTGTGCTAACAAAATGAAACTAGATTTGCCATGGCTAGATCTTATTCTTAAGGTCAACTCAATTCTCGTCGATGTCGCTGAGATGTAATAAGTAGAGCGTGTGATTGTTGGTTAGGGTTAGATTAAGTATTAGGGCTAGGTCCAGGGTAAGGGTTAGGGTTGAGATTAGCGTTAACCCTGTTTACATCTCGTGACCTTTTGCCAAACTTGAAGTTGTCCTTATTAATTAGATTTAACCCTTTGTGCCTATCTTCCTATAAATTTTACTCGAAACGAAATATAATTTTATATACTTAATGTTGCAGTGTTTTCGGCAATATGTCCTTCCGGCACATTTAACCAAATGTGAATATTTTTGGGCATGGTAGGCCAACATTAGATAACTACAATGACTTAATATTGAAAATAACTGAAAAATAGATAAATTTCGTTTCGTGTGAAATTCTGTGTTTCAAATTTGAATTTGCTAGAGTTCAAAAGGTCAATTTCTGTTTATCGGTTTGCAGTAGAGTTTTT